AAAATAAAACAAAGCACTGTTTGATGCTGGAAATCTGAAACAAAAACAGAGAGTACTGGAGAATCAAAGAGGATCCGGCAGCACCTGTGGAGAGAGAAACAGTTATCATTTTGCTATGTGACCTTTGATATGTCAAAATGGAGGAATAGAACTATGTTGTTAATTCTTCAAAGATGACGACAATGGACATTGTTAATGATTGTATGGCATACACTTAGTCCTCTTTATCCATGCGCTCATGAGGCCAGTCCCAGACTCTCATTTTTTTTCTTTCCCTATTGTCCTTGATAATCTAATCAGGTGGCCCTTCATGGTATACAGCAGTGATATTCTAGCATTTTTTAATTCTCTGCAGGAGGTCCATGCCCCCATCCCTCACAGATAATGAGGACTGGGTGTATAGATAAATATCCTGCACTAAGTTCACTACTTGCCACTCACAAACTGGTGACAGACAGGCAATTGAACAGTCTCAGATCACATTAAATCCTACCTCTTTAAGCAAGCTTTCAGTCAAGTGACCCAGATCATTAGAGTTAACGTTTCGGGTCTGGTGACCCTTGCATTCTGAAGAAGGGTCACCGAACCCAAAACATTAACTCTGTTTTTTCCTTCACAGATGCTGCCAGACCTGCTGAGCTTTTCCAGCAACTTTGTTTTTGTTCCTGATTTACAGCATCCACAGTTCTTTCGATTTTTATTGACCCAAATCATTACATTGGTTAGTGTCACATTTTGTTTGAAAATGCTGCCCTGACATTTCAGGACATTTTGCAGCATCAAAAGTGCTTTATAAACACAGGTTGTTGTTGTAACCATGCCTTCCGATTGCAAATTATTCTAATCCCACCTAATATACAAAAATCCATTGACTGATTTGTTGCCCATCTCTGAGACACAACAGTACATACATAGATGAAGATACAGGTGAGACACTCAGAGCTCTATAAAACACAATTAATTTATTAAGTACTTAAACAAATAATACACACTTTTAACTGTAGAAGGTTTCTTAATCACTCTCTTTCACTACCTTGACTTCTGTGACTAAACCCAAATGTTATTACCCAGGAGAGTTAGCAGCTGGCCAGGCTGAAACTCTGCTCGACATCTTCACCGTGCCTCCTGACGTAGGGTACTTTTTGCAACATTAATCTTTGAAATTATGCTGAACAAAAGGATTTCTTCAGGCTCTTTATACATAGGTCTCTGTGCCAAGTATGTGCCTTATTTGGAACTATCTGTGCACATGACCAATCCAGAATGTTTTGGCCAAATGCATACTTTATTTGGACTAATCCATGCACAGGAGCAATCCCAAATATTTAGTCCAAATGTATGCCTTGTCCGGTAGAGCCTGCAGTTCCTGATTTTCTGCAGTTCTAAATCTTAGCAGACCTGACTGACTTAGCATAATTCTATTCATAAAACAGCCCATTGTTAAGCCTATTATCAGGTCCCGTTATCTTCAGCCTTATCCAACAGATTTATAACAATGTAATACATAAGATCATGTAAGTTGTAAGTGTAAAACATACAGTCTACCTTTGGAAATCTCTGATATTTGACTTGGCTCACTTCCATGATGACATGCATAGTAAAGTTACTATAGTTCTTCTGGACCATAGGGCTGCTCTCTCATTAGAGAAAGAGAAAACTGGTGGTGGTTTTAACCTAAGGACCATGCCTCAGGTGAGGGAAGAGATTAAGAAAGAGAATCCTTCATGGTAATCTCAGCCTGTGCGAGAACCTCAGCTGTTGGCATCATTCTGCATCACATAGCAGGCATCCAAGCTAATCAACTCCTGACATTGATAAAGGTGGGTCTTGGAAAGATGTCTTGTGGATTGTGAAGGTAGGTAATGGAGCAATCAGCACCTGAAAGGAGGATATTGATGATTGGGAGAAATGGAAGCAAAAGTGGACAGCAAGAATGGAAAATATCGTCCAGGTGTAAGATTTGTTTTGTTGGGGGTGAGAGTCAGACGTAGATTTCCTCTGCAGAAGACAGTGCATTAGTCTGCATTGAATCATGCTGTACTTGACCAGCAGTAGATAAGTTTGATGCAAGTACAGATTGCCTTAAGTGCAGTGCATTTAGTCCATTCTTTAAAATAAAATATATTCATTAAAAAAAAACCTTATGAAATAAGTGACTGCCTGAGTGAAATTGAAATATACTTTTTTTAAAAAAAAGTTCCTATAAAGGAATCAATTAGTATAGAAACATAAATTTAAAAATTCATCAAAATAGGTGGTGGCTTCCTCTGATCAATATAAGCTGTCATAATGCTGTTTAATCTTTTTTCAATCATAATACAGAAGAAGTGACGAAGAGGATTGATGAGGGCAGAGCAGTGGCCATTGTCTATGTGGACTTCAATAAGGTGTTTGACAAGGTAGATTGGTTTAGCAAAGTTAGATAGCATGGAATACAGGGAGAGTTATCCATTTGTATACAAAATTGGCTCGAAGGTAGGAGACAGAGAGTGGTGGTGGAGGGTTACTTTTTGGATTGGTGGCCTGTGGCACACCTCTGTTCACAAGGATCGGTGTTGGGACCACTGACTTTTGGTTATTTAAGTAAATGATTTGGATTTGGATATAGGAGGTACGGTTAGTAAGCTTGCAGATGACACCAAAATTGGTGGTGCAGTAGATAGTGAGGAAGGTTACCTCAGCGTACAATGGGACCTTGATCAGATAGGCCAATAGGCCGAGTTGTGGCAGATGGAGTTTAATCTGGATAAATGTGAGGTGCTGCATTTTGGTTTGGGCAAATCAGGACAGAACTTATACATTTAATGGTAAGGTTCTGGGGAGTATTGATGAACAAAGAGACATTGGGGTGCACGTTCAGAGAAGGAAAGTCATAGGTAGACCAGATAGTGAAGGCGGTGTTTGGTATGCTTGCCTTTATTAGTCAGTGCATTGAGTATAGGAGTTGGGAGGTCATGTTGCAGCTGTACAGGACATTGGTTAGGCCACTTTTAGAATACTGCATGCAATTCTGGTCTCCCTGCTGTAGATGTTGTGAAGCTTGAAAGGGTTCAGAAAAGATTTATAAGGATGTGACAAAAATAAAGATTGCTGGAAAAGCTTAGCAGGCCTGGCAGCACCTGTGAAGAGAAATTAGAGTTAACGTTTCAGATCCAGTGACCCTTCCTCACCGGACCCGAAATGTTAACTCTGATTTCGCTTTACAGATGCTGCCAGACTGGCTGAGCTTTTCCAGTAATCTCTATTTTTGTTTCCGATTTACAGCATCCACAGTTCTGTCGGTTTTTACAAGGATGTTGCCAGGGTAGGAGGGTCTGAGCTACAGGGAGAGGCTGAATAGGCTGGGGCTATTTTCCCAGGAGCTTTGGAGGTTAAGTGGTGACCTTATAGAAGTTTATAAAATCATGAGGGGCATGGATAAGGTGAATAGACATGATCCTTTCCCTGGGGTAGGAGAGTCCAAAACTAGAGGGTATAAGTTTAAGGTGAGAAGGGAAAGATTTAAAAAGGGATCTAAGGGGCAACTTTTTCATGCAGAGGGTGGTGTGTGTATGGAATGAGCTGTCAGAGGAAGTGGTGGAGCCTGGTACAATTACAACATTTGAAAGACATCTGGATGGGTATAAGAATAGGAAGGGTTTAGAGGGATATGGGTCAAATGCTCGCAAATGGGACTAGATTTATTTAGGATATCTGGTTGACATGGATGAGTTGGACCAAAGTGTCTATTTCCGTGCTGTACAGCTCTATGACTATGACTGTAAATTCACTATAAACAGGAATACAGTTCTATGTCCTACTTGATGCAGTTAGTTATTTTGATTTTGAAATAGAAATTTGTGAACATAAAATCCATCCAAGACATCAGCACATAAATCTAGACTTACACATCAGTGCAGTACTAAAAGTACTGCATTATCAAACAGTGGTGCAGTGTTTTAGAATACACAATTGATCAAGGCTATGTCTACTACAGAGAAAGTTGTGACACAGTTGTAGTATCCAGATCTTCAGGTCAGAACTTCCAGAGTCAAAACCCATCTCAGGACATGATGACCATGGAAGGTGCACCATATCAAAAATAAATCTGTAAATCTTTCCTCTGGCAAGAAGCAAAAGTGGGAGAATTTCCTGATCAGCTGAATCATTTGGTAACTGCAGTGCATCAGTTAGAAGACTCAGCAAACAGGTTCTTACCATGAGCAAATGTCAGCCTTGTACCAAGGGACTACCACACATACATCCGAACAGATAGATAGTAGATCCCATGGCATTTTCTCAAATTAGTGGCAGAGATGTTCCCATAGTGTCCCAGTCAAGATTTAACAATCAAAAATCAAAATCTGACTTCTATTTGTGGAACTTTACTGTGTAAAAATTGTGTGTCATACTTGCAGGTGTAGTTGCAGAGATTACAGGTCAGAGACCTGTAGGTTGTGATACACTTGGATCATCCCAAGAATGTGATAAGGCAAGTGATTTCCTTCTTAGGCAACTAGTGTATCACATTTCAGCAGTGTACGACAGAAATAAGAGGAAACTGCAAAATAAAAAAAAACTTCAGCTTGTTTCATTGCTTTAAATATTTTCTGTTTCTGGGTTTCAAACATTGATTGTACCTGTTTTGAATGGAGTTTCTGTTCTGGCATTGCAAAGGTCATAGCCCCAGAGGTCAGCTCTCTCTCACTAGAGAGTGCAATAATTAGTGGGGAGTTTAAGTTGGGGGGTCAGTACACCTCAGGTGAGGGGCAAAGTCAAGACTTTTATGGTGACCTCAGCCAGTGCAGGAACTGAACCCATGCTGTTGGCATCATTCTGCCTCACAATCCAGCCACCTGAGCTGACCAACCTTCCTTCGACAGTACACACCCAAAGTAATGACTCTTCTGTCCTCCACACAGCGTTACTGTTGGATCTGTCCTGCTTTACTTTCAATGCAACAGGATAAATCACAATTTCCCTGTCTCTGATAAATTGATGTAAAGTATCAGATACAAACATGAGGAAATACTTAGCTTTTATTTTTGTTACACAGTACACTATCTAAAAACATTATATTTATACTGGAGGATAAATTAATTTCAATTGCAATGTTTATGCTTCTAAATGACATTCGACAATCTGTACTGTTAATTGTTATTGCGTGAGACTCTGTTGCAATATTATGATATAAGCTATGCCACTTGTTATTTCAAAAAGATACTTTGATCCTAGTTCAGCTTCCAAGGCACTAAATCTGTATGTGTTTATACATTTAATCGCAGAAGCCTCATTCTGCCCAGTAGCTTTTAACGTTTGGTTTCCGGTCACACAGTACAGAATGCTTCAGCAGATGCTTTATTCAGGCCTAGTTAGACATGCATTTCTGTTTCATTCTCCCTATGGCACTAGTACAATGTGCTGATTCCACTGAAATAAAACAAAGAACGTCCCTTTATCACTCCCCTTGCTGAAATTCAAAGTGATCAAAAACAAGTGACTTACATTCTCCATCTTTCCCAAAGAATATCCACATCATTGAAACATTAAATCCTGAGATATACATACAAAGCAGCATTGTGAAGCAGAACAGCCAGAGATTTAAGTTCATGAGGTAGCTCAAGCTACTTTTGTACACAATTAGCTGCTGCTAGTGATTTGGCTTTTTGTTTAGTATAGAACTCTTAAGTGAGAAATAAGCTCTCGCTTGCAAGAATGCTATGTTTTATCTGGTATACAGGCATATCCATACACACTTCAAAGTTACTCCAGTAAGTATTTTGCAACATTCTACAGATAAAAAGGAAGACTATAAAAGATAAATGATATACCTATAACATGTCAGAATTTAGAGCATTTTCACTGCTTCACTTTAAATAACTGCAAACAATTGGAGGCAAGGAGTGAAACAGATTTAGAGGACGCTTGCAAAGGGGCAACACAGGAGTGACAGTTCAAATGACCTCCCTCCTAGGCTACAAGGTGTCACAACCTGAATTAATATTAATGTTGTTATTTTAGACCACAAATCTGCTACCATAATTAAAGGTATTGATACAGTTTAATAAGGGCAAATATATTTAAGCAGAAGGGTTAATTTCTAAGGGATAGAAATGAAAGGCAGAGAAATGAGGTTAAGCTTGTATAGAACCTAGATCAGAGCCAAGGTGGAGTACTGCAAACAATTCTGGTCTCCATGATTATATAAAAAAGACACAGAAGCATTGAAAGAATGACCATAGAACTGACAGCTTATACCCATTAGGAAACATTGAATAAGTAAGGCATTTTTTTAAGAAAGAAGATGTGGGGTAATCTGAGAGATGTCTTCAAGATTATGAAAGAGTCTGGTAGGGTAGTTGTAATGGTATAGTGAATGGTTGCAGTTTGGTTGAGAGAGTTAGTAGTGGTTATGCTGGTGGTGGGAAGCAGGGGTTGGGAAGGAGTCAAAGTTGAGACAGACAGTCAGTAATAAACCAATGGAAGGGATTCGGGAGAAAGTTCTTTATCCAGACAGTGTTGGGAATGTGCAATCTGATACGACAGCATGTGGTTGATGTGAATTACAGAGCACTTAAGGGAAGCTGAATAAACAAGGGTGGGGGGTGTACAAACAGAGGGGCATGTCGATTTGGGTGATAAGATAATGATAAGAAATAATTAGCTGGCTGGGACTTCCTACAGGCGGCACGGGGCAACGCTCACTTCTTTAGCTTTACGTCCATGATATAGATCATGTCACCGTATCTGTGTGCAATAAATAATAGAAAAAAAACTGAAGGAGCGTTTGCTTTGTTATCCTGCCCCTCCTCATACCAAAAAAAAATAGATCCTATGTGATAAACATAAAGGCTGCCGCAAACAAAAACAGAAATTGCTGGAAAAGTTCAGCAGGTCCGGCAGCTTCTGTGGTGAGAAATCCATAGTTAATGTTTCGGGTCGAGTGACCCTTCCTCAGAACGCTGTCACAAGTTTGGCACTCTCTATAATAACACGGTACCTACTGCCCAGCACACATCCTGATATCACGGAGGGAAAATGTTTTCAAGTGACCACCTAAAAGTGGATTCGATTGGTGTTTGAACTTCAGTATTTCAGACATCACCATCTGGTGATGCAATTTCCCAACTTTGAGCATGTTGCAACGTCAAATCCCAATGTTTGTTTTTCTTGATCCGTGCAGAACTGCTTTAAGTTAAAAGGTCTTTTCGTGAGTAAAGTTTTTCTTTATTGCCATAAAATAATGGGGTTTTTCTGCGCACACACAGGGAAAGGGGCGTTTCTTCAAGGCTCTGGGATGTAGCGGAGTCTCTGGGAGTAGACCAGGTCGGCCAGGTAGAGGATGAGGTTGATGAAGGTGAAGATGGCGATGATGAGCTGGCTGTCCCAGGGGCAATCCCCTAGAGAGCAGGAAGGCGGCCTCTCCACCGAGCCGTACTTACTGTCGAAGCAGAAGATGGGCCAGACCACGGCGGCGCTGAGGTACAAGAGGGTGGCCAGGAAGGTGTACAGGACCACCAGCCTGTCGAAGGGGCACCTGAGGGCCCCGGTCCGGCCGGAAACATTGAAGCCGATGACCAGGGATGTGAGGATGAAGCAGACGGAGTAGACCGCTACACACCACTGGGTGGCCGGGTAGCGGCTGTACTCGCTGCCGTTCGCCAAGGCCCCGAAGATAATGCAGGCCACGTACGCCTGGACCACCTTGAGGAGCCCCGGGGTGGTGGCCATGTAGGCGCCGATGTGACCCGGCTTGGCCCGGCTCAGCTGCACCTCCACCCCGTAGGCGATGCAAGTGAGCCCCGAGAAGACGCTGGCCGAGATCCTGAAGTCCCTGGACTCGCAGCTGTGGCTCCCGCAGTCGAACTGCACGAAGTAGACCGGGTAGACAATGGAGGCGGTGAGCTCCATCAGAACGGCCAGCATCGCGAACGAGATGGTGAAGTTCTCCCAGGACAGCCTCACGCAGCTCTGCAACCGGGCCAGCTCGAACGAGACGATCAGGCCGCTCAGGGTTAGGCACCAGGCCCAGGCGAACATGCAGAAGTGGCCGTACGCCGCTCCGTAACCCCCATCGTGGGCTACCAGGCTCAGGGTGACACAGCCGAACAGGATCTGCAGCGAGCGGAGCGCGCCCAGGGGAGACAGTAGGGCCGAGCAGTTCAGGTACGGACCTTGTGCCTCCATCAGCTGCACGGTTTTCACCTCATACCCCCTACAGCACTTCTTACCCCCCCCTCAGCACCTCTTACCCCCCCCAGCACCTCTTACTGCCCCAAACTGTCACCCCCACTGCTGTTTTGCCCCTCCACAGCACCTCTTACTGCCCCCCAGCGCCTCTTACTCCCCCAGCGCCTCTTACTGCCCCAAACTGTCACCCCCACTGCTGTTTTACCGCCCCAGCACCTATTACCCCCACCCACCAATTACTGCCACACTAACTTTTACCCCTCTCTCCCCGACCTATTACTTCTACCACCTTTTACCCAGCATCTTTAACTGGCACCAGTTTGCACCCTGTACGTTATACCCCACCAGCGTTTACCCTCAGTACCTATTACTGCCAGCAACCTTTTGTCTCTAACACCGATTACCCTCATCAGCTGTTACTTCCCGCAGCCTTTCCTGCCCGCAGTTATTATCCCCCTGCCAGCAACTTTTTCCTCCCCAGCTTCAGCCGCAGCCCTCCTCTTGGACACCGAAGTGTCTGAGCGGAATGAGAATGAAGCTAATTTTGGAAGGTGGTGATACTACCGCAGCTGCCGCTTGTCCTAGGGTTGGTATTTGACCATGCCACTATTAATAGAGCTGTCAGTTAGTGAATGAGGGCAGTCCACACACAACAGAGACAGATCCTGCAGCCCTTGGTGCATCAATGCATTCCCCTACCTCGCCGTTTTAATCCCACCCGCACTTTCTGCTGAAGCTGAGATTGACGCAACACGTTTTTGTTCATTTCAAAGTAATTTCATTTCACGGTACTGGAGATCTAAAATAAAAATTAGAAAGTGCTGGCGAAACTCAGCAGGTCTGGCAGCATGTGTGGAAAGACAGAGAGTTAACGGTCTAATCCCCGTTGAAACCTAAAGAACTGCGGATGCTATAAATCAGGAACAAAAACAAAAGTTGCTGGAAAAGCTCAGCAGGTCTGGCAACATCTACGGAAAAAAAAAGTTAACATTTCAAGTCCGGTGACCCTTCCTCAGAGCAATATGGTTATTTGGTTGATTAATTGTATACAGGTGGCGAATATTCACTAAGGATTCACTTTCCTGTCTCCCTTGAGAACTTGTGCAGTGGTTGTATCCCTATCTCTGAACCTGAAGGTCCAGGTTCAAGTCCCACCTTTTCTAGAGCTGTTTAATAACATCTCCGAGGTGGCTCAGTGGTTAGCCCTGCTGCTTCGTAGTGCTAGGGACTTAAGTTCGATTCCAGCCTCAAACAACTGTATGTGTGGAGTTTGCATGTTCTCCCATTGTTTGTGTGAGTTTGTGCTGGGTGCTCTGGTTTCCTCCCACAGTCCAAAAATGTGCTGTTTAGGTGGATTGGCCATGCTAACTGCATTGTAACAAGGATAGGGTGTTGTGGGCATGTGTTTGGGTAGGACGCTTTTCTGAGTGTTGGTGCAGACTGGATTTCTAAATTGCCTCTTCTGCACGCTTTCATTCTATGAATAGTTGATTAGAAATAAAAATCTTGCTATTCAGTTCTGCAGTTGTATTCATCCCCCAGCAGAGGGAGCGCAGTGTCCACTTACGACCTTCCATAGTCCATGGGTACAGTGGGAACTGGCGTGCATTATGTGTTGACATTCATTAAGTTTGCCTTTAATGTTTCCATTTTCATTTTGTTTGGTTTATCTTTGTGACATTAGGTCAGTGGTGCTCCCTTCAAGCCAGCCATTAGGTGACAAGGTCCAAGGAAGCAGAAGATCACCTGTGAGCTGACCAGGCTAGGAAATCCAAGGGGGAGGATCCAAGGGTGATAATTCTGAGGGAAAAGTGAAGCCTAAAGTAGGGGAGATTTTTTTTTAGAGGAAATTAGAGGTGAAAAGAACTTTAATTCCTTCATTAATCACTGACAAATCACTGAACATGTGCTGATAACCAACGGTAACAGTGATGACAATCACATTCCCCTCATTGTTAGCCATAACTTAATCATTTCTTGTAAAATAACTGGTATTAATGGGTGGCACAACCTGAAATCCAACCCATGACTAATAAAGATAAAGGGTAAACTCACCATAGTCCTGCCAGACCATAACAATGCTCTCTGATTAGAGAGAGATGATTGCTGATGGTCACCATGCGTTAGGTGAGGTGAAAAGTTGGGAAAGAGAATACTTCATGGTAACCTCAGCTGATGCAGGAATTGCCCCCATGCTGTTGGCATCACTAATCAGCTGTGTGGCCAACTGAACCTTCTTATTCCATCTATAACAGACCCAGTATCTCTCCTTGGACTCTGGTTTGCACTTGGTACTGAGTGATGATGTCAACCCTAAACAGGGAGCATCACTAAATACCATCTGTACTTGGACTTCAAATCAGACTGACAAACATCAACCTGAACTAAACTGAGAGATCAGGCAAAAGGCTTAGTCTTTGGGAAATGGCCGCAAAGGCGTATGTTGTCCTAATCTCAGCTCAATGTCAACATCATTTTCCCTTTATTCATTCATGGGATGTGGGCATCACTGGCAAGGCCAGTATTTGTTGTCCAGCCCTAATTGCCTAATTGGCCTTGAACTGATTGGCTTGCTAGATCAGACTAGGTAAGAATGGTAGATTTCAAACCTCACAGTTTCAGAGTCCTCACAAACTCGGGGAATCCTTGAAGTCCGGCAACACTGATTCCTCAGTCTTCCCATCCCCAACATCCCAACTCCCCATTCCTGACCCTTAATTTTTCAGCCTCCCCATTTCTGACATCACTGATTCCTCAGTCTCCCAATTCTTGACTCCGATTCATCAGCCTCCCCATTCCTGACATCCCTGATGCCCCAACAGAGATTCCAAACATCCCCGTTTCCTCAACTTCCCCGTTCCCGACATCGCCTGCTTCCTCAGCCTGCCCATTCCTGACCTCTAATTCCTCAATCTCCCAACTCCAAACCCTTCGATCCTCAGCCTCCCCATTCCCGATGTTCCTGATTCACCCACTTTGTTACTCCTATTATTCCCAATCCCTTAGCATCACCATTCCAGACATCCTCAATTTGCCAACATTCCCAATTCTCCAGCTTTACAAATCCCAACACTCCTGATTCCCACCTATCCCTAACCTGATTTATGCTATTCCACAGCTTCCCAATTCCTGACATCCCTGATTCTTCAGCTTGCCCATTTCTGATAACCCGATTCCCATGTTTTCCCAATCCTGACATGCCTAATTCTCCAACCTCCCCCTTCCTAACCCTTGATTCCCCAACTTTCCCAATCCCAACACTCACAATTCCCCAGTGTTCCCAACCCCAACATTCTGAATTCTCCAGTTTCCCAATTCCTGACCCCCCAATTCCCCAAACTTGCCATTCATGACAACTCTGATTCCCCAGCTTTCCCCAGTCCCTATCTCCTGAATTCTATAGTTTTCACATTCTTGACATGTCAATTTCCTAGTTTTCCCAATCCCAAGGCTCTCAATGTAAATAGCTGACCCTCCATCCCCTGCACCAAGCTGTAGGAGGCACAGAAACATCCCGATGACTGCAGCAGCTTTGGAAAAGAATGGGAAGTTGAGGGTGGGCTGGTAATTTACGAGGATGGAATATTCCTTTAAGAATTTCAGTTCTTACTTGCAGGGTTCCAGCAGTAACAGTTCCATATTTACTAGACCTTGACTAACAATCACTGAAAATACATGGTTGAGCAAAGAAAGTTATATTTAGGATTATATGTACAGAATGTGTCACATGGCAAATGAACATCACATTCCAATCCTGATGGAATGAGGGGTTAGATGGGAGAGAGATTTCTCACACCCTGGGATTAACATTAATGACTCAACTGTTGGGCAGTCCTGTCAGAAACAAAATAGGTCTGGAAGAAACAGAGGAAGATTGTGAGTGTTGGAAATAGAATCTGCTGGTTAATTCTCAGTGTGAAACTGAGTTGAAGGCCAAAGACAGGGTACCACCGTAAACATGTGACAAGACAGACCCGAGTTGTATGAGTTTAAAGGAAAATATGAACGAGGTGAAAATTTTGCCCTGCTCTGACTCCTGGGAAAGGAAGAGATGACAAAAGTCATAAATTCAACAGCATTAGGAATGTGCAGGAAAGGAAGAGCATATGGTACAGCTTTTTGAGGAAGCCTTTACAGACATTTTGCTTTAAAATCAATAATATAAAACCAGGAACTGCAGATGCTGGAAATCCGAAACAAAAACAGAAAGTGCTGGAGACTCTCAGCAGGTCTGGCAACATTTGTGGAGAGAAAAACAGAAATTTAGTAGCCCTTCATAAGCACTGAAAATAGTGGAACTTTACTGATGATGGGATGGGGGATTAATGAATAGAGTACCTGGAGACAGAGCCCAGAGAGAGAAACAGAGTGAGGAAAAAGGGATAGGCAAACAAAGAAAAAGCGGGATAGGCAACAAAGAAAAAGCAAATGATAAAATGAGAGATATCTAGGTTTACCTATTTCCCCCCCACCCACAACCCTGCACCTCCTTTCTCATTCTCTCTGGGCTCTATCTCCATGTACTGTATTCACTAACCACCCACCTCCACCCCAACAACAACATGTAAACCACACTTTCCCAGTTATGTTCAGTTCTGATGATGGGTCACTCGACTTGAAATGGTAAGTCTGTTTTACTTTCTTCCATTCTGCCTGATCTGCCGTATTTCTCCACCGCTCTCTGTTTTGTACAGTCACTTGAAGCTCTATTGTATGAAAAGGCCTTTGGGGACAATGATGTCCTGCATGGACCTCTCATAACATCTGTGTGGACAACCCCTACCATGTTTCTGGGAACTCTGTAGTTGGCCTATGATTTTACTCTCTTAATGGGTAAGTAATGTTCCTCTTGCCTCTAATCTTGCTGATCTAAAAACACAGCAAAGAATAAATAAAAGTTTAGTTGTGGGTAAAATACAGTACAAAGGAAAGCCAGCCAGAAATATAAAAGCAGATAGCAAGAGTTTCTACGAATGTTTAAAAAAAAAGAATTAACAAAATGAATGTT